GAGGGAAACGCTAAACTTTGATAAATGTTTCAGTAGCTGCCCAACATTTTGAAAGAGCTGCCTTCTTCCCCTGTTATTCTACAAAGTGAAGTCCAGCACTGTGTTTCAAATGGTGTGAGGTTAGATGAAGAACATGGATGCAGTTCATAAACATTTTCTCACATCTGTAACAGTGTTATATACCCACTCCCCACCACCCCCTCACCAACACACACACACACATCCTGCTTTGGCTCTAGATATGAACTGCGAGGTGTAATTCTACTACTGGACTGAATTTTGATCAATTTATAATTTATCTACAGTACATACACATTTAATAAATGGTTCACAACAACCAATAATATAAACAATGCAGATGTAAGCAGGTAAATCATGGAAGCATTATTAAATTACTGTATTTTCATTTGAAAGTTATAATCATTCCAATAAAGATTGATATATTATTGCAATTGTGCTCTTTGGTGAATCCCAAATGAGGCTTTGAGTTGTTGACAGTTACATTAGTAAAATACGCTTTATTTTATCTTAAGATTCACTGGCCATGATGCCAATTCATTAAAAGTCTTTCAAGGAAACATATTAAGAGATTATGAGGAAACTTTTCAGGATCATCAGGATTTGTTGGCCTTTTTACATAACATATTTGAGTTTGGTAGAGGTTCCAATTTTTATTTTAAAAAAGTTACCGTGATATTTTAGTGCCCCTGAATAAGAGTACCCCATCCATAGCCACATAATTGTGGGGGGTAACAATATGTAAAATAACTGACCACCACTGACATGAATCAACAACAGACAGCCATAACAATAATCAATGTCCAACAGCAGATCAGAATCAGGTTCAAGAGGTTTATTCACTTTATTCAGGTAAATTATGCAACAAAATAGTTACTGTAAGCAGTTTCCGACCATGTTGTTACATTTCGTGATGGATGACATCTTATCTCTCCATATGTCAGCTGGGCTGTGATGTCTGGGGTCAGCTGAGGAGGATCTTCTTGATGGGACTTGACAGGGATTCTGTGTTCAGGCACAACAGATGATGCAGCTGATATAATGTACAGTACAGAGTCTACGTAACCAGGCCAAATCAAAAGACATACCAATTAACCACATGTCAGTGAAAGCACAAATGCATGAAGTCCACTGGAAGAATTACAATATCTGACGTAAAGAGATGAGTAAGCTCTGGGATGAGAGCTCATAATGTTCTCTCCTCTGACAGACTCTGCATGCTCAAGGCCATATCAGCTCTCTGGCTAACTTCCTAATGTCCCTAAACCGTGCTTTAACTCACTTAAGGTCAGTTAAGACTAATTGTCTTGCATAAACAGGATTCAACTTATCTTCACTGTGTCACTGTGTCACCAACGTATCAATCAGATCTCCTTTCTCTCATGTGTCTGCAGTGACACATATCAGGCTGATCACTGACATTTGATTAAAACGACAAGTAGGCTGGTGTATTTCTGTCGCATTAAATATCTAAGAAGTGCAGGTCATCGAAGTCTGAGCAACGAAAATCTACATGTCCTTTTCCTCTTTAGATACACACTGAGCAGAAGCCCGATCGCTTGTAATCGCCGATTTCGTTGCTGATTAGTTAAATTTACATTAACGCTACTTCAGCTCAGAACGGTAACTCACAAAGAAAGAAGAATGAAAGTCACAGTCACACATGTGCAAATGTGTTGCACCCTTCTTTTCCACACAGCAGCAAGACTGGACGCATGAATGCAACGTCACCACAGATTTTTCAACACTGCCATAAAGCAAACTGATGTCTTACTGTGCCGCTTAAACCACAAATATAATTTTCCCCTGTATAAGCAACAGTAAAATAATGTACAAAAACAAATACAATGAAACTGCATCCTCTGCATGGCAGCCAAACTTATCACTTTCTAAGAATCTGTGATATTAACAATAAAATTCATGACTAAAATGTGACTAATATTAGACAAAATACAATCATGGAAAGCAAATAAAACCAGAAGGTCAAAGGTCAGTGTGAAATGGTAGCTTTCTCCCCCTTTTTCACTTGGCCTGTCTCCCTCCATTAAACATTATTATTTGATTTTTGAAGATCAGTTAGATTATGCATATAATCTTTTCTGGTGTTGTATTCTTTTACAGTAAGTATGTGTTGACAGTTTATCGCTCTGTTTGCTCGTTTGCTCGTTCTTCCAGGTATGTGGGCTCAGATCAGCGGGCCCATCAGGGAGAGTGACAACAGGTTTGCACCATCAGGGCTCTGAGAGAGGAGGGGCTGGGCCGACTCAAGGTGACAGAGAATGGGTGAAGTGTGCTGCATGGGATCACATTTAAATCAACCCGTTGCATTTATCGTCTGTATCTGTGCTGATGGATTGAGTTGTGAGGTCAGCAGTAACCCCCGAGTCCAAACTTGGTCTTGTGTTGAGTGTGGTTTCTCTTTGTCTTCCTGTGCAGCTCACCTTATACTCACCAGCGCAGGTGGTAGGATCCAGGCAGGTGAGGCTATAAAGCAAAAGTGCCAGTCAGTAGTAGAGGGGGAACAGGGGAGTGGGTGGTTTGCTGTGAGGCTGTAGATGTGTCTAGTTTTGTGCTCTTTTCTTACTTTTGTGTGATTTAGTTTTGTTGCTCTACTCCTGCTTCTCCAGTATTGCTTTTTTTTCTCCAAGTTTTCAGTGCCAAATAGCTTCCTCCACTCCTACCTGAGGGTTACAGCGCTAAAGTCAGCTTCACTGTGACATCAGACTGTTCTGCAAAAACTTCCAAAAACTTTTCTGGACAATGTTCTACACCACAACATTTGTGACCTTACTTTCCTGCAGCTTGACTGGTTGACAGATACAATATGTATAGCACTGACCAACAGTCTTATGTCCACAGACAAAAAGAGTTTTTATGAAAATTTAAAGACAAACTTATCTTTAAAGTCTTTTAGCAGTGAATAACTCCTGCAGTGCCTCGGCTTGTTGAAAACAGTTCCTTGAGTTTTTCAAGTGAGCTTAGTTTTGAATAAACTTAGTTTGTTTTTAACAGGACTACAGAGAAACGACTGAACTAAGTTCCCTGAAACTTGGTGGAGGGAGGGAACATGGGTTAAGAGTGAATCCATTCAATTTTGGGGCTGATCTGGACAAATGGGTACATCTGGGAGATTTCTTTCACTTTCTCTAACATTGCCAGATTTCTCAGATAATGATCTTGATGAAAAACATCTGACTTAGACGACTGATATCGGCTATGCAGCTTGATTGAATTTAAAGGGGACTGATGAGTCTTGGTGTACGTATGAGCTCTACTGACTCATTCTAGTTTCCACTGTGAACGCACTTCTTTTGGAAAACCTGTAGAAAAAGCTGGGGGACCTCTCTGAATGTTGGACGAATTGGTGGTTAAGGGGTTTAGTCTCGGCATGGATTTGAAAATGAGCTCAGCTTTCCATTTTCCCACTAGGGAGCAGTCACTTGTCATGATGTAAAGATGTCCTCAGCATTTGTCCTGCAAGGTCCAAGCCACTTTGAAACACTAGGTGGTGTTTTGAGCCACGTTCGACCCATAAATGTTGAGTTTTGAGTAATAGATGTGATTTTAAAAACCAGCATTAATGTGTTTCATCAAAGAACAGTCATATCATTTGGTGTGTGGTATCTCTTCATTTAGATTCCTGTTCTCTTAGTAACAGTGGTTACTTTTCCCTCTTGTATGTAAAATATAAAGATAGTTGGAATATCATCCACTGGACCCAGTTACATAACAGTTTGAATTTAATTTAATAAGGCATCAGTACTGATTCAATATGTGCAGTTATGTCTGACGCTGTGGCCTCCTTGTGATGAAAACAATGGATTAAACATAAACTGTGCTCGTGTCAGACAGGTCTTTGTGGATTTCTGCAGCTGAGAGTTTATATAAACAGCATCGATTGAAGTACAGATAACAAGATAATCAGATATTTGATGAGACATTACAAAGGAGTCCTGGACTAACCCTCACTCTCGTTGTTTGTCACTTTCTGTACACTGGGACATCGGCCTTTCTCTCCTCCTGCTGACACTTGCACTTTTGGATGCGATGGTGAAAGCTTTGTACATCATGATCTCTCTTTAAATGTTTTTGTCTCCGATTACAGATCAGCTCCTGAATTTCATTACAACATAAACAAATGTTGGTCTTCAGCTATTTTCATCACGACATGCAATCACTACTGCAGCCCGATGCATTGTATTATCTGTGTGTGTTTGTGTGTACTGACAGGATACAGTATACTAGGATTATCACACGTAACACACAGAGAGAGAAAGTACTGGACGCTGTGGTGGGTTTGTCTCGGTGGAAAAGGTTGAGAGCAGGTGTGAGAGATGTGGATTAAAACTGATGATGATGAGAACACGGTGTCTGTTGGAGCTGCAGGGTGATAATATTCTGCCCTGTGCTGGTCTTATATGCAGCCCACAGACACAGGGGGGTATTTTTAGAGACTCTCACCATCTCTCCCCCAGGTGTTGAGGTAAATAAGATGAGGTATGTTAATATGAAAGTTTATACAGAAATACTATGATGATTTCCCTGAATTAGGGAAAGTTTGTTTCTGACTCTTGTTGGGACAATTTAAAGTCCTATTATAGGGACTTGTCTTCCTTATGATGACAAAAAGTAGGTCCCAATAACATAAACCATTAAGTTTTAAGGTGAAGGCATGGTTTTAAGCTTTGGGTTTAGGTTAAGCAAGTAGTTACAATGGTGAAGGTTGAAGTCAGTCTCCAGGAAGTAAGTGTGTGTATGTGTGTGTGTGTGTGTCACTGTGGTGACACCATTATACCAGATAACACTAATTTCATTCCCTTTCCTCTTTTAACCAACACATCAAAGTCTTCTGTCACTTGAGGCCTGTTTCTCTTTGAGCCATCTCTTCTTTTTATTTAATTATCTCTGGATCTGGCAGCCACAGACGCGGCCACACTGAAGATGTGTCACTTTTTTTTTTTTTTTTTTTTTGCATTCTGAAAGATTTTGAGGTCTTTCAAGACAAGAGAGCTGCAAAACATCAATGTTATATGTTGTAATATAGATGGTTCTGAAGGATAAGCCAGTGTGTGGTTCACATTCTGCTGTAGTGCACATCACTAAGCATCAGTGTCTGTGACCTTCAGATATTTATGAAATAACCAGCAGGTTTGTGTGAAGGGGGGAAACATTATAGACACAACTTAAGAAATGAGAAGCACTGCAACCTTCATTATATTTTAAGTTTTTTATTGTATTGTAAGATTCTCTTTCTTTGCAAAAATTGACATTTGACAAATAAATATACATTCACATTAGAAAATAGTTCAGATAACAACAAAAACATTCAAGTGTACTTAGCAATTATAAAAAGTATAAGATGTAAACAACATTTTTTCTCCTCTACTATATTGACCCTCCTGAGCCAAAAGTCTCCTTTACTCTCTAAAAAGGCATGACGTCAACAAAACACACTTTTACGCACCGATGCGCGAGTCTCACAAGGTATGAAGCCACATGTGGATCTGACAGACAGAATAAGCTAACATTCTCATATGTCCCGTGGTTACGTGTTATGCGTATTTTTTAAGTGGTTTGCTGCGGACAGGCTGGTCCGCTCAGTGTCTCTGCGCCGGAGCGCGGCGCTGGCCGCGGCGTCTCCACACCTCCCGTGTCAGTTTGAGCGCAGCCGGGCGCACAGGTCGCTTCTCAAGCTGACGCACCGACTCTCCTTCTTCTTTCAAAGATCTGCGATGAGCTGCTGTCTCTCACTCTGCTTTTTAACTGATCACACATCTCTCTTTGTCTTTGCCTTGGCCGCCTCCTATCGCCTTCTCTTTAATGTACATGAGGTCGCTGTGCACGCTGGGTCTCCGCGCGCACGGGGTGACCACGCCGTACGCCTCACCAGCGTCCTTCACCTTCTTGTTTTTCACGGACTTTCTGTGCAGCATGTCGCAGTACTGCACGGACACTTTCCGGTGCAGGTCGGGGCTCATTTCGTGAGGTAGCTTGGCCAAAGTAAACAGAGTCTGAAACATCTTATCCACGTTCTCGTTGCGCTTGGCGGAGATCTCGAAGTACGCGCACTTGTCGTCGCCGGCCATCAGCTGCTCGATCTCCTCCTGCTGCACCTCCCGGTAAAACTCTCGGTCGCCCTTGTTGCCGCAGATCACCAGAGGCACGTCGATGTTCTCCTTGATCTTGTTTTTCAGGCATGACTTGGTCTCGTAGATCTGCCGCTTGAGCCTCTGTACCTCCTGGAAGGACTCGCGGTTGTCCAGGCTGAAGACGAGGATGAACACGTCACCTGGAAGCACAGAGAGAAGGAGCGTTAGATACATTAAAGTATTTTCTAGCCGTGCAGTATTATGAGAACCTATGCATCCATGCGCTCAGGGCGCACAGTTTGCGCCAGGCAACATGTGTGCGTTTATGAAAAACCACATCACTGCTGCGCTCTAACCCTGAGTAACTGTCACCCTGCACAAACACAACAAAGCAGATGTGGATAAGTACCTGTCAGTATGGACAGTCTCCTCATGGCGGGGAAAGGGTGGTTCCCTGATGTATCCAGAATGTCCAGCTGGTACACGTCTCCCTTGATACTGTACAGTTTCCTGTGAAAGTCCTCGATGGTCGGCGTGTACTGCTCCTCGAACCTCCCGTTCAGGAACCGGGACACGATGGCCGTTTTCCCGACTTTGGTGGATCCCAAAATCACCATCCTGTAGCAGTTCTTCGCCGGGATGTCAAAATCGCTCTCGGATGGAGACATTTTCTTAATCATGGTTAAACCTGACTGCGGACTGCTCTCTCTGTGAAGCGCGTGTGTGCGTAAAGAGCGCTGGAGCAGCTGTTTCAGTCGGAGTCAGGGTTCTCGGTTGCTCTGCTGTGCGTTTCTGTCTGAGTTGCGGGCTGGAGACTTGTATTTAAGCGCAGGGCGGACTCCTCCTCCCCCTGCGCGTCACAGCTCACAGAGCTGGCGCCCGATGCTCCGCTGCGCGCCGGGAGAACATCGGACCCAACTCCCACCGGTGCGTCAGACTGTCATTTCCAACAAACACTGGACGCGATAGAGAGTTTGGAAACAGTGGGAAACAGACATGAACATTAATAAAATCTCATTAAAAGTATATTTTGTTCATGCATGGGATGAAACACGGCAGGTGACGCAATGACAAAAGGAAAAACAATTACTACCAGGGAACATAACCAAGTTAATAATCGACTCTTCTTCCGGCGTTTAGCCCGGTTGTGAAAACTGTGCTGAACACAAAGATGAACTGTATGTTCCCAAATAATATCACAGCTGGACAGATGTGACAGAGCAAATATGTTGTGAGGCACAAATGGATCTGTCTGAGTATATAGACTACACATGTGTTTATATATATATACACACATATACACTTCTGCCATTGTTTTTGTTTGTGCTTCTCTCTCTTATACAACAGGTCATTCGTTAATATAGTCAGTGAGTGCTGCAGCTTCTTCATGTCGGCAGCAGGAAGGGGCTGAGGATGGAGATGCTGCAGTACGCAGGGTGACCAAAAGGTGGCACTCGGGGTACAATTAATTGTCCAGACACCAGTTCCCTAAGAGAAAGGGCTCTCCACCTTGCTATGGAGGGGCTGTGTGTGTGTGTGTGTGTGTGTGTGTGGTGGGGGGGGGGGGCAAGAGGCCATGGGAGTTAATGGTTGTTTATCTGTAATGAACATAAAGGAATCAGACACAGACGTATTTCCCGGTAGGGATTGATGGCCTTGATCTTTGGGATGGGGTGGGTGAGTAGGTACTCTCTTTTTTTCCTGATTTTTTTTCTCAGTGTTTTCTGTTTTTATATTTCATCTGTTATTTTATTAATTGTATATTTTTGTGTATTATTTATGTTTTATAATATGAACACAGAGGAGGTCAGCATGTTGATGCTATCCATCCTTTGGCTCATCTTAGATTTTCCTGTGTTTTCAAGTCGGCTCACCATTACCCAGGGTAGATCACCATGGCAACCCACATGGCACAGCTGCAGAGGATCAGATCCAAACCTGTCAACATCCCGGGCACTGACCAAGCAGTTCACACAAACATGAGTCATCTTTTTCTACAGGAACAAAAGCACTTGACGAAACATTCTCATAAATCACTTGAACTGTTTTACACTGAAATGTTGATGAACAAACTTTGATGATTTATTGGTGAGTTTCTTTCATCCCAGCTTCGATTCTCGACAATCCCGATTTGTTTATGCTGCTACTAAATCTCTGTAGCTCAAGTGATAAGACAAAAACACTTTGTGAGCACAATGAGCTTTTTCTAAACATCTTTTTCAATCAGAAAGACCCTGTCCTGCATGAACTGCTTCTCCCCAGCACAAACGTACGTTAGTCGAATGATCCCCAAACAGCCAGTGATGCTGACACATGAATGGAGCAGCTGATGTTGATGAGCCAGTGCAGGCCAACTTCAGACTGTGAGACAACAGGACCCTGACCTCAGACTCCTTCATACGAGCGAGAGCCACGAGACATCCTCGTGTCTCATTGTTAATTTTGTGTCTCATTGTGGTAATTTTGTGTCTCATTGTGTTTTTATGGTTTCTTTGAAGTTGTGTTGTGTGTCATCGTGGTTGTTAAGTCACTCTCTGTGTCTCGTGATGGCCTTTTTTGTCTCTTTGAGGTTGTTTGGTGTGTCTGTGCTTGTTTGTGTCTCTTTGCAGTTGTGTTGTGTCTCTTTTTAAGTAACTTTGTGTCTGGTTGTGGTTGCAAGATGAAATTGTGGTTGGTGGTTTTTCAAATTAAATGAATAAAGCCTCTGGTCAAGGAACTCTATCTAGTTGGTCTGTTCATTTATCCATTCATGGTACTTCACTAATACCATTTCATGTTCCCTCATTCATACTTGACTAGATGTCAGAATATAATATATTTTGTGCTGAATGTATTTATCAGCTATATTTACGAGTTACATTTCAGATTAAGATTATGAAGTTATGAACATGTGAACCCAGTCCTTTTATTGCCAAAGAAAACTCCCTGTGTAAGTGTGACTGTCCCCTGAGCCTTTAAACTCAGGCTTAATAAGTAAGCATATTGTCCGTGTTAATGTAAAGTTGGTTAAGCTACTGCAAACTGTGCGTCACAAGGTCAGTGAACACCACTGCTCAGCCAGCACAAAACTCCTGTAAAATGTTTTTCCTGAGGCTTCTTCCTCTGATAAACAGGATTTGACAAGAATTACTCTGACTGTCTGTGTCCCATGACCTGATCACCTGAATGTTTCTTTGTCCAAGTTGGGTCTACCAAGTCTTTCAAATACATGCGTGTAGGTCAGTGCACAGGAATAATGTGTTCTGTGTGAGTAATAAACAGAAATAAACAGTAACTTTAATTGCATTGGATTTGGCTGCAACACTTTTTACCCCTGAAACTCCAAAAGTGTCTTGTGGACTCAAACAACTGGTGAGTAGATAATGAGTGAGAAAATGAATAAGTGTAAGTGTAGTCGGATTTTCTCTACACCGTGGTTCTCCTTTCCTTACTCCTTACGGTTTCTCCTTCTCATCTTTCGTTGACCTTGTGACGTTTTCAATCAGGGTCAAGGAGCAGTGGCTTATTTGGACTTTCTGAACTCACCCCATGAGTGACAGTGTCTGAGTTGAGTGTGAACTTCTCCTTCCCTACGCCATCTCAACTGCTCAGTGGCTGAAGTTCCGCTCCTTCAATTGGTCTCAGGACTGGACACTGTGGATGTTGTCAGACATATATCATTGTTATTGGCGTCTGGACCAAAAGAGTCGACCAACTGAGTGAGCCCAAAAACAAATTCTCAGGCCTCATGTTCTCTGAAAGACTTAATATGTAACAATTCTTCCTGATTCTTTATATGTTTTGTTGACTTGTGTACTTACATTATCCAAACTGCTTTTTGGTTTCCCTTTAACTGCATCATATTCACTTTACCTGTGGTTTCTCTAATGACTTGGAGAAAGGTGAAAAGAAAAACACACTGTCAGCAGGTTATGAGCCAGTCGGCTGTTTTTTCCTTTGACTATTGAATTGGTCATTAGTAATGGATCATGATTGTTCATTGATGTTTGCTGCACATTCTGGAGGATTATAGTGACCCTAGATGATTATGGTGGTATACTAGTTTATAGTAATGAAAGCTGTAAATGTTCCATCCTGTACTGTAAAACTTTAAAGCCTTCTACAGAATGATCCCTCATATGTGATTGCAGAATGCATGCATATAAACTAAGATTTTACGTGGGGTGAAAGGAGTGCTTGTAGTGGAGAGGGTAGCGACACGACTTCTCAGTCGCTCGTGTAAATACTGTTGAGTGCTCTTGTGCCACTCAGCCGTTTGTCTCTGAAATCAATCAGGTGGAACAAGTGTTTGAGGCTGTTTGCCTTGTTCTCGTTGCTAATGCAAATTACTGCTCGCTGCAGGAGAGAAGGGTTTACGCTGCTGTTCTTGTTCTCATTTTATTTTACACAAGTGCGACAAAAACCAAGCCTGATGCCTCACTATGGAGAATATGAACTAAGAGAGAAGAGTAGATGTCATTCATCATCATTTGTTTATTTGTTACTTAATAAAGAAATAATCATGATGCTAAGTTTTGTAAATTAGACAGATGGGTGAGGTTCACTTGATTTTACTGGGCCCTTCTTTCATAAGGCATAAACTGTGACACAAATCATAAGCTTGGGCTGTCACTTTTCTACAAATCAAGTTTGAACCAATTTAACATAACATGCATTCAGTCAGGAACACTTTGTCTGGATTTACCCATTTACTGCACAATGGGAATACAGTTATGATTGACGCTGAAGGCTCCATTCTTTGGATGTTCCCTGGATTAAAGATAGAACAGGGACATTTTTTTAAGAGGAATATCGTTTACAAAAACCATGTTTGGGCTCGGTGGTAAAAAGTGGAGGCTGGGGTAGTGGAGGCAAGTTGCCGGCAGCAGGACGTGGGTGGCGGTGTAGCTGAGGAGGGTGAGGTCGTATTTAAAGGGACCCCTTTGGTGAGAATGGGTTGTGATGGGTGGTGGGAGACTGACGAGCACCCACAAACCTATCTGTAGCTGACAGCTTAGGACAGCTGAGTACATGACTCCGTGTCCGGCATGAACTTACGCAATGCTTCATACATTTGACGTTGCTCCGCTTGTCTGTGGTGCTTCCTCCGCTTCCTCACTTGGGTGGAAAACCAACAGCCTCACATATGTTTGTTACTTAGCCGTCTATGGAGCAGACACCAGTATACTTCCACAAGCTGCTACTCAAATGGTTAGGTGTCGTATTTGTCTGCTCACAATGGCTTTGCCTTCATTTTCGTGACAAAAGGGTCTTAGGTACAAAGGGTCCCTAAGAAGCGGCCTGCATGGGCCATTGGTCTACAGAGAATTTCCGTGATATGCTTTACGAGCTTGTCCCACACAAATACCGCTGTTGCTTAACAACAGAGCAGCAGTTGTTCACAACGAGAAAGTTTTATTGCCCCTTGGTTTTTTAACATGTGTACCATGATACTAACAGTTAAGTTTATGCATTGGATGTTCTGGTCTCATCTCTTGAAGCAGTCATTATCTCTTTGAAAAAACAGTTTGTCATCACAGTACAATGAAACCTGGGATAGGTTGTTGGCTGCATTTGAAGGAGCCTTCAAACTAGGACAGCCTTGTTGCGACACTGTGACCCAATCGGTCTTCAAATGCAGTCTATGGGGGAGCCCCCAAACCCTGAATGGGACACAGCGGTACTCACAGACGGGTACAAAAATAGCCTGCACTCAACCCGAAATTCAAACTGAATATTTAATAGACAAGAGAGATGTCTTTCTCCAAGTGGTGTTTCGTCACCCTGTTTTGAGCAACCCTTAGGATTCAAGGTCCATAATGTGAGGGAATAAATGAATAGACCTTACAGTGAGATTTTATTTATCATGCAACAGTGTAAATGTTGGCCAATTGGATTCAAGAAATGTTTAACAACAATTCGGTTACAAAATCCATCCAGCAGAAGACACTGCCAAGTTTTATGTCAACTGTTAAATGTTTAGATTAAATAAATAAGAAAAGAATATGGCACCAGTTTATATATTAAAAAAAAGTCAGTGGGTCATCAGAGTCTATAGTACTCATCCTCTGAATATATCATCAACCAACATTGCAATTTGCACTGCTGCTATACTGGCATGAATAATAAAGAAGTATACGGTTGGATTGATAGGCAAAGAACAAGATCTCACACCTCATGTTCTCTTAAAGACTTAATCTCACAATTCCTGATTATTCTTTATATATTTTGTAGAATTGTGTACTTACACTATCCACATGCTTCAACCAATGTTCAAACCCAGAGAAATCCTCAATTTTTTAAAGGTTGTTTAATTTTGGTTGCTCTGATTTTAACTGCATTTTACTCTCTTTACCTGTGGTTTCTGCCTGTCTCTAATGACTTTCAGACAGAATGGTGAAAAGAAAAACACTGTCAGCAGGTTATTAGCCAGTCGGCTGTTTTTTCCTTTCACTCTATTGAACTGGTCATTAGTAACAGATCATGATTGTTCATTGATCTTTGCTGCACATTCTGGGGGATTAAAGTGACCCTAGATGATTATGGTGGTGAAGAAAAAAAAAATCCCTTGATCCCACGCCGCTTCCTGTCATCAATTGGGTCTTTTGTTGTTTTGATTGAGAGACCCCTAGTGAGTGAAGTTACATATTGTTGGTTTAATAAAATTACCTAATGATCGAAAATGAATGTGACCTCATACTGCTTGCTGCTGAAACTTTTATTCCACAAAATCTTCCCATCAATACACAGTACATCACCAGGCAATGTGTCTTGTTGAGTTCAGAAAGGTTTGCATAGGTACAAAGTATAAAGCTATCACTGGTGTAGGTCTTTTGTCATTTGAAAGGATTCACGTCATACGTCATGACATTATCAAGTCTATTCCATTTATACAGTGACAAGGAACACGTAGAAACCTCGAGCAGAACGAATAATGAGTTACACTGTGTTCTAATTAACATTGAACTACATTAAATCATGTAGTTACAACAAAAAAGTAAAACAATACATTGTATAATTAACACCAGAATTACCATTTTAGAGTTATTGAAAACTTCAACTCAACTCTTTATTTTTTGTTTTAACTCACACCAGTTGATCCAGGATTATGTCATTTTCAAAAATATGAAATCTTGCACATGTTGTATATAAATGTCGTCATCATGTTGTGTCTAAAGGACAAACTGCGGCAGTGTAATTCAGTGGTTTTTAAACCATGGTCCCTTGTGGGGTCTGACGCAGGAGGGTTGGCAGATCATTTTGTTAGAATGGCGAATGGAGGTTGCATGCCTCATGCATGGTGGGTTTAAAAAGTTTGGAAAGCCCTGCTGTAATTGATTGAGAACTTGTGGCAATGTTGTAAAAAATAACAGTGCAAGTCAAAATGCTCTTTGTGTCCACATAGTAAAACATCTGGAAAGGATACTTCACAGATTCACAGACGTAGTTCACATCACTGGGTCACTCACATGTACAGAACATCATTTATTTTTTCCCTAAAGAAGTAAGTGAACAGTAAAAAGTTACAGTAGAACATAATGTCAAGGACTGATGTGTTTCAATGATTCCACCTGTCAGCTACTGTGGTGGAGGTGGGTTGAAGGTCAAGTCTAACTGTGCCAGTGACTCTAAATAAGTATCGTCTCTGTTAAGGTGGAGTGGTTCCAATATTCTGTTCCAGAGCTTATTCAGAATTATTTAGGTTTTTGTTATGTTATAATTGCTGTGCACAGTAGAGCTTTTAAAGACAGTTGAGAGCTGAGAGTTTACACTGAACTGGACAGAGCTGTGGTGGGAACTTTGTCTTTGTATCCACGTTGGAGGGGGACTGGTGAGCGAGGCTGCTGGGAAGTCTGTCGCTTGCTCTGTCCCCGTGACAGGATGGGAATCCTCGACAGGAAGTGTCCGCGAGGCGATTATTCATGCTTGTGGCGCTGACTCCTCTCCTGATAGATCTGCTCGGTGAATGGTCTGTAAATACAGAAAGACAAACATGTACTGGGACTATAAATCAGAGACTGGATCTCCGCACCACTCTGTGCCAGGAACGTGTGTGTGTTAGACCGTGAAGCAGTTTGTTCTTTGTGTGTGTGTGTGTTTATATATGACAGGAAGATGCCACATGTTCCTTCACTCTGTTGCACTCGAGTGCACGTACACTTTTGCACAACTGATTCCTGTATCAAACAACCAGCTCTGCTCCTGAGGTGTGGATCTGGAAGATTGCAACCAGCATTTGCTCAGCCCATTCCAAACAAGCAATGCACTAGTAGAACTAATGAGAATCAAACCTGAAATTAAATAAATAATAAAACTTGAAGGGTGGTGGAGGGCATACCTCTGAGAAAAAAGCGTAACCTCCTCTTTACTCGAGGTAATAAAAGTAAATGTGGTCAGGACCTCCATGTAACAGTCACATACTGATATTTGCTCCATCTTTGTCTACTTAGACAACAGACACTGTCTGCAGGAGGTTTCAGAAATCTGGATAGTGTATGAAGGTTTTCTGATGTTCCATTTTCCGTCCTAAATATAATAAACACAGCAGAAGAATATGACAAGACACACATCAGAAGACTTAAGTTGAATTAAAAGTTTATTAAATATAAACTAGAAGGATGTTCTGAGAGTGCATATCTCCTTCAAGGCTAATGCCATATCAAGGCCATTAATTAAAGACTATGTGGCGGCCCACCATATTTTCGAATTAGTCTCGCCACAGTTTATAATGAACCAAAATAAATGTTTACACTTTTCATATTAACGTACGTGATCTCTCCCTCTGTGTTTTGCTCTGTTGCTGCATTGTATAGTTGTGTGCAGTGCTATTTGCTGTATGCTCGCTTGCGCTGTTGTCTATAAAGTTTTTACCAACCACGCAGAAAGTCAGATTTCATATCTGTATCTGCAAGTGTCATACAATGCAGTTCTTTCTGATTCTTTTGATTGTAAGTTCTTCCTTTGGCCATAAAGTTTCATGGAAATTGGTCAAGGAGTAAAACTGGGAAAAAAAAAAGTTGGGATGCATTTTCGGAAATGACTCAACACCTATTTCCATTCACTGCTTGGTTCCTGCATCCATCCCTCTGGTGACTTTATCCATTCCAGTCACCATGTGAGGTGATATCCGACTGCAGGCCTTGCTATCTTCGCATAGTTTAACTAAATGAGATCATTCAGAATCTTTGCCAGAGGCACAGACCAATATAGCTGATGAATCGTTTCCCAGTCGCAGCGTGTGGTAAAATATGGCACCTGCCTTTCCTTCAATTCACAGGTTCGGGCTAAATGACACAATTGTGGATCGGCGCTGCTGGAGATCTCCCCAGTGACACGTACACCTGTGCGCTCATTCACAGGGTGTGTGTTAATATGTGACATTTGCAGAAGAGCATGCTCATGACACCACCGGGGCCCACCTCATTTTCCTTTTCAGGAATATTGCCTTTTTTTTCCCCCCATCCACTCATGTGGCTTTTACTCTGAAAGAGTTGACTACACAAAGGTCGCTGAACCTTGATCCACCTGGGTTATTTAAGTAGCAGCTGAAATATTGGTGAGAAGATTTGGATAAAATAACCTTCAGAGTCCACATGAAGAAGAATAAAAAAAGGGTCTTGTCACAATTTCCTGATTGACCCTCAGATTGCTGAAGAATAATTTTCCCTGTGACTGCATGTGTCTTTTCTTTGGTTAGTATTTTTTAAATTTAGGTCATTCATCTTGTGACTTAATGAATTTGTCATTTTCTATCATTTGACTTAATGCTACTAGTCAGGATGTGTTCTTGTGATGGAGCTCTCAACAATAATAAGGTAGTTGAGAAGATAATAATCAAGGAACGAGCCACGTGAATTTATAGCCGGCACATGTTAATCAACAGCTCATTTGCTGCCATGTGACAGTTTTCTCACATATGTAACGCAAAAGTTGCACATGTACATACACACATGTACATACACACACGTACATACACACACGCACACACACACGATGAGTAAGTGCTCACACCGGCTGCTTCTATGCCGAGCTCTGTCTCATTTCTCGGTGGCTTATGCGGTAGCAGCATGTTTGTGTATTTTTCTGTGTGTATGTGAGTATGTGTACTTCAGACAGATGTCCAGAAGTAGGTCAACCATTTATTTGGGGGGGGGATCTTATTTTGTTTTTGTCATGCAGGAGGACGAGGGAATTTTTTTTTGTGCAAATGAACCAACAAAGCTTTTAATATATGATATAAAGGAAAAAGAACAAAGAAGACAGACCGCCTGTTTTAAACCTTCTTTTTGTCCATCTCCCAACTTGCGGAACAAAATGAATGTAGTCCTGAATAAATGGAGATGACATTGGAGTAGAAAACACAAAAGAGGAGTAAGAAGGACGTTGGGGTGTGTGGAACATCATTGTCCTACCCAGGGGGCCTTGTTAACTTGCACTTGAGTGACACATCCCCATTTACCTGCGTAGATAGTTGACCTGCAAACCGACTGTGTCTCAGCCACAACAGAACTATGAATGGATAAGCTCTCATTTTAATCTCAGGATGGTTATTTAATATAGTGTGAATCAGTTCCACTCAGTCACTTCACCCATTATTAGGCCACGACTATGGATTTCCATGAAATTTGGTGGAAGGATGGGACAACAACCCCTGGGTGTTTTCTTTACATTTTCACCAATTCAGTTTTCAGTAATTAAATCAGCAAATGATGGATCATGATGAAAAAAGGACATTTACTTGATTGGATGTAAGGGAACTATTGGACTTTGGGGGAGGTTTTTATTCCAATGAGTGCTGTGCTAGTTTTTCTTGAAAGAAGAGACTAGTAAAATAGAAAAGTCGACACACACGTAGCTGTTATGTGTAACAAATTTAAAGAAAGGCTTACCCCTCAAATCTTAATGCCACCTTGTACACCACAGCTACTATGGCAGTCAGGACAAGTCCAACAGGACTGGCACCACTGGAGAGACAAAAAAAGAACAGAGGAAGGAACATGCATTATACATTTTGTGAATATGTAGACCACTCCACAATAAAGACCCCACTTCGGGCCGTGTCTCAAACAGACATGAAGTGCGTTGTGAAATATATGATGTGGGGGCAACAGAACATAGATTGCATTGAGCTTGGATTCAAATTAAAAATTAATTGTCAGTTTTTTTCTCCTTTATCCACTGATTCAAATGAGTAAATCTAATTATAAGAGAAGGGAGTGGCAGTGGAATAAATTATTCTTTGATAATAGTCAGCAAAGTCTAATTAATTAATAGGGAATTTGAAATAGTCATTTTAAAATGACTAAGATATTAAACTGTTTTCAAATATGTTTCACCCTGTAGTTGAATCCATGTGTAGAAAAATACACACACAACATACTGACCTACATATACCTGACTAGAATGTGGCACAGTGACACAGATTTTATTAAAGGTTCAGTGTGTGAGGTGAAAGGGATCTATTGGCAGAATATAAAAGTGTAGTACTCTTGTTTTCTTTACCCTAGAATGGACTTTATATATTTAAATACTTACATTTACATCAGAAGCAGGGTCCCCTCTAAGGAGGCAGCCTTGTTTTTTTACAGAAGCCCAAACTTAACACCTTTTGAGTTTTTATGACGAAGGCTACCATTAGGTTCACATTTGGAAGGGGGGGAGAGGTGAGGGGTGTTCAGCTGCAATATGTAGATTAACTACTAGATATCACTAAATTCTACACACTGAACCATTAAGGGAAAAAACCTGCACTTGAATAATGAAGCATGCTTTGAATTGCATGATGGAGGTAACGCAGTGAACATTATTAGATAAAAAACCTGCGAGTGCTGCTCTAAAATCCCTCTTCAAGTAGTGCAGCGGAGGGAGTAACAACAGGCTTTTAATTGTATTCACAGGAGATTGACTCCACACTTTCAACATACATTCTGTGGGTGACGGGTCTAATTTCTGGCCCCACCACTTTTTAAAGCTTGCTACAGCACATTGTAGGGCATCAAAATAAGACTGGATGATGAGGCTTACAAAACTGTCGTCCCTGACCTAGATAAGAAAACTGTAATGGAGGAAGCAGGATACAGAGAAAAAAAAGATTCTCTAAGGTTCAATGACATTTGATGAACATGTATTGTAAATATATGTTTTATAGGTTGCATGTAAATTTCGTGGGGGTATTTTGAACTGGTACAGAAATCCAAGGTCAAGCATGACACACCGACTGTGGTGATGCCTTGGTCTTTTACCGACCTACTCATTATAACACATGTTGACCAAGATGATCAGTGAAACCACTGAGTTTAATTTGTTCGTAAACCTACATCTACATATAAATCCTCTTATAAGGTTCAGTTTGTAGGTGTTTAGTGGAGGTGGGTACATTTCTCGATTCTTAAAGGCATCGTGATGCGGACGTGGACGACTCGGCATCGATGCAGAGACAGAACATAATCGATTCATGTTTTTCAGCTTTGTCATTGTTTTAGCAATGTCCTGCCGGTGCACAATCACAACCAGCACTGCTTCAGGATCAGGATAGACGCTCATTAAAGGGCCGGTCGTCTGTGTCAGAGTCTCTGTCGGAGACCGCTTCCTCCTCACTCCTCTGCTCTGATTATTAGGACACGTACAGGACTGACGTTTAATTTGTTTGTTTGATTCCCTCTAGAGTTTATGAGACACATGTCGAAACCTGCGACACAACATGAGACATGACGCACGGTCAGGACATCAGGGTTAAAGTGAAGGAACGAGTGAAGGAACAGGGGGCACCATGATACAGTAAAGGCTATAATCAGAGTTCTTGTTGTCTTTCTGAGCCTAAAGTGCAGCACACAGGTCTAAAGTGAATGAATCTGAAATCAGTGTGGAGTGCACTGACCACTCTCATGCACTTACTGCTGGTGTCTGATTTTGAACCTTTGTCTATGTTTAGTTTTAACTAAGCAAGGGGCGGCATGGAGATGTCATCAGATAATAAACCAAAGTATATCATGTGACCAATGATGGAGGCTAAGACTTATTCGAATTCATCCTGTGGGGAACAAACCAAATACCATTTATGCAATCCATCTAACAGCTGCTGAAACATTTTAAATCAAAAACTCAAATCGTGATACCTCATCAGGGGACCATGTGAATAACATATAATGACCATGTGAATAACATATAATCAGCCCCTCAGTGTAACTCGTGGCTCCTTTATGCCTCGTTTTAAGAAAAGTCCTAGTTCTGCCACGGCCTTGTTTGTTTGTTAGCCTGGAATTGTGACTTAAAATAAACCTGATCTGTGACTTAACACTTCACAACCCATCAACCTGGTCAAGAAACAACATGAAGTGACGAAAGGTTTAGGCGCCACGTGGTTTCCAACAAAATGACTTCTTTCAATTCGCTTAACTGCCTTTGACCTCTCTGGAGATCAATAGAGCAACACATAGAAACAGGGCTGCAGCACAGATTTACAATTCCAGGTCAGTAGTCTTTCTTCTAATTTGTTTACTTCATTGCATTTTACATTTGATAAATGTGCCTTTGCAATGTGAAAGGTTCCACCACTTACCATCAGTACATGCTGGATGTTCCTCGAACACATCTCCCTCTATAATATTTTATACTTTTACTCCCCAAATAGGGGCTCCCATCTATTTCAGTCCACAGTGCAGTGGATGTTGATGGCAGGAAGATGGGAGCCCAATCGTTGAGCCTTCGAGCAGCTTTCTCATGACTTAGGATTTCTGTGTCAAGCGCAGTAACAGCTGTGATTACAGTCAGTTCACAGCTTTCCTCGGCTGCAGATCTGACACACGAGGCTGGCTTCGGCGAGACCCGCTCACCGTGACACGTACGTAAATCTGACACGATGATGAGTCAGTACACCTTGTGTGGTAATCTATATTTGCCAGTGACCCACATTTACAAACTACAAATGACAACACCAAAATTGGTCAGGCGTGGGTGACTTGTTCGTGGTTAAACTGGAACATTATCCGCATTTATCAGAAAAGCACAGCGCTCCTGTGAACTAGGACTGAAAGCCAGTTTTTAACTCTCCTCTTTTTTGGGACTCTGTTTGTCCTTGGCTTCAACAGGAAGAAGAGTATTTCTTTAAAGAATTCCCTGACACAGATTTTTTTTTTTATGTCAAGGGACTGTTTTTGTCAAACCATTTGTTAAGATATGATGATCCATCAACTGGACATGTGTCAATTTATTAGAATAATGATATTATTTTCAGTTTTGTGTATCTGTCCAGCTCACACGTTTCTCAGTCTGTATGCTGATATCAAATCTGTATCTGCAATCTATGTCTATGCACATGAATATGTGTGTTTCCAGTGTGGAGCATAAAAGGTTTGGACAAAGACGTGGGGGAAAAAAATCATATTTATTTGTTCAGTCAGTTTTAAGCTTTCAGCATGTGCTGCTGCCCCCTGGGGGCAAAGTAAGGCCCTGTTCCAGTTCTTCTACCTTGGTCCTACCCACGCCTAACGGAGCCAAAGGGAGAGGGCTAGAAAATGTTCCCCTAAGGAGTAGGACACAACTTGGTTCATCATCAGCAGCCAACCAACTTTATTACAGTGACAAACAATATCAACTAATGTTATTAACAACCATTATCAACCAACATTATAATGGTGAGACACCTGACCACTGCAGGACAGACTGGACAGATTGATCTAATGATCAATACACAGTCAGTCAGTGTGTTTATCAGTTATTTAATAATTTTACTTCAGTCCTGTCCATAGAAACTTCTGCCCTGTACTGAAAACTTTGTAACACTTTTTCGAATTTCATATACAGGACACGGGTGTAACAAACTGTTTGCGTGGCTCATTTATGTTCTGTTTGAGTTTATGTTAGTGCCCGTTCTTCAATAAAGATGCTGAAAAGCAAATGGGTTGTCTCTGGCTGTTGTTGGAGACCCCGGTGGCAACACAAACGTTTATCGTTACTCTCACTCAAGACTTTTTACATGAATAGTGATTTTCCTGAAATGCTTGTCGCAGTCATTCAGTTACATGTTTATATTCTGCTGGATTTAAAAAAAAGATTCATGGTTATTTTGCAAGACATCATACTTACATTTTACCCACAGCTATAGGGGCCCTGAATGCACTATGTTGAAGGGGTGTTTAAAGGGCTAAATGGCCACTACCCCGAGATCACACTAGGAAATAGGACAACACTTCACGGCCAGGAATAGGAAGATGGATGTGTGCAAACTATGGCAACTACGGGGAAATAGAATTATATTCATTCACTGCTGAAGACTTTAAAAGGTTTAGCAGTCATATGCATCCATATGTCACTGTGAGTGACACATTTGTACATGGCAACACAGTGAAAATGGACCACTTTTCCATGTGCGTCATTATTCTTACATGATTTTCGGGAATATGTGGGTCATATGCTTTTCTCTTCAACCCTGGAGAAGCACCAATGGAGTTCATACATACTGATCGAGAAACTCAATATAAGGGAAGAGCTCTCCATTCTTCCAACCATTAAACAGTTTTACATGCTCACTTGTGTAGCACTTTAAAAATCATGACAGCAGCTCTATTCATTATGTTGTCTCGTTGTGTGTGTGTGTGTGTGTGTGTTTTCAATGCTTAATAATTTGGTTATTAAATATTAATTCAAATATAATGTCAACTAAAAAGGCATTCATTAGAACATAGTCCCCTTAAATTCAATCAAGCCGCATCAAAATGCACGTACCCGTAGTTCAGTTCCCTAATTTATTCATCAAGATCCATAGATTACTCTCTGGGCAATCAGGGAAAATGAACCTTAAAACCTTAAAAACCTTAACAATCAATAGTTTGTTGTTACAGTTTCCTGCTAATCATCACTTTAGACCAGGATACAGTGAATGGTCATATAAATGATAATATGGAATTACTGACCAACATGTTTGCTCAGTGTAAAGAGATTCTCTCAACACTGGGGCAGGAAGGTT